TACCTATTATCCAGGGGGGCCCTAAGCGCCACCACATACATCCTTACAGGAGGCATACAAAAGAGGAGGCCACATGAAGACGGAGCAGAGAGAGATCTGAAGATGCCGACCTGGAAAACTGGGGTAATGCAGCCACCAGCCAAAGAACGCTGGCAGGCACCAGACACTGGAAGAGGCAAGGGACTGATTCTCCCGGAGCCTCTCATGGGAGCACGGCCCTGCCGACACCGTGATTTTGACTGAGCGGTACCGACTTTGTTCTGGTCTCCAGAACCGCGAGAGAATAAGTTTTGGGTGCTTTAAGGCAATCTGCACAGCAGCCCCAGGAAATGAGTCCAGGACCACTTCACTCCCCACTCACAAAGCTGGGTCCACACCCTCCACTCCTGGGCACATAGTCCTCAGCTCAGACCTCTGCAAAGCCCAGGCCTGGGTTTGTCAGAAAGTTCTCCAATCCCTTTCTCATTGGGAACCCCAGACCACTGGAAAGAGCTGGAATTTTCCGGATGCCAGGGGAACACCTCTGACTCAAGTCTCACTGCCCTGTGTACCAGCTGGGTGCTGGAGCTGGTGAAAAAATACACTCAACCATGCAAAAGGCAAGCGTACACACCACCCAAACACAGCCCCCGCACCATCCGCTGCCATATGCTTGTGTTTCTTGAAAAAGAAGCTTGAGAGAACAAACAAAAAGAAATCTCTCCTCTTGGGGGCATGGCAGGGGCATCCCTCCTCCCCAGGAGCCCCACCCCCACCGGACACCCCATCTCTGTCCTAAGGCCCCTCAGTGGGGATGGAATTGCCTGGGCCCTTAATCCTTGCCCTCTCCTCACTGTCCACCCATCGTTGCAGCTGGCAGATAACGAAGCAGACCACAGCCCTGACTTGCTCTCCTGTCTGCTCAGGCAGGCTCTGCAGGGCAGTTTGAGGGGGTCTTACCTGAGCCACATGCAATGGATGGCGATCTAGACTTGTGGTCAAGACAGGTGAGTCCCAATCCCCATTCTGACCCCAAGTCCTTCCCCCCCTCCCTGCTCACAGAGCCCCCTGTGGCCTCATTTAAATCCAGGTGCATGGGGCAGCTTGACTCTCTAAGGCAGTGGTTCTCAACCTTCCTAATGCCGCGACCCTTTAATACAGTTCCTCATGTTGTGGTGACCCCCAACCATAAAATTATTTTCGTTGCTACTTCATCACTGTAATTTTGCTACTGTTATGAATCGTAATGTAAATATCTGATATGCAGGATGTATTTTCATTGTTACAAATTGAACATAATTAAAGCATTGTGATTCATCACAAAAACAATATGTAATTATATATGTGTTTTCCAATGGTCTTAGGTGACCCCTGTGAAAGGGTCGTTTGACCCCCAAAGGGTTCGCGACCCACAGGTTGAGAACCGCTGGATTAAGGAGAAGGAGGTAACCCTGTTCTGGCCACTGGGACACAAGGGGCTTCTAGGAAAGGTGTCTACACCCCATTTCACCCCATTTGATGATCTACCCACAGCAAGAACCTAGGAGTTGGTAGCAGATGCCGTCACTGGTTCACTCAACCCCCATTCAACCCTCTCCTCCCCTACCCACTGAGCAAGTGCTGGCTGCTCAATCCCTCCCACCCCTTTAGGTCGGGATGACCAAAGCCACTGCCAAGGAGGGAAGAGCCAGGGAACAGAGATGCCAGCCCCTGTGATGTCCCTGAGCAGCTGCCCCAGGGCTGGACTGCCCGCCTCCAGGCTTCTCTTGACAGAAAACAAACGCCTCACTTTTTCCGTTTCTGCTTAACAGGTTACTTACAATCAAACACTTTCCTAATAGCAACAGATTCCACAGGAGGCATGTTCCATTCAGGTTCACTTTACTACAGTTTATGTCTTTCAAATCCCTTCTGAAATAAGGTGGGGCATAAATAAACTGAAAACAAATCAATCCAACCTTTTAAAAGGCCTGGTGCTGGGCACCATTCAAGGAGAGAAAAGCCCGCCTCCCCAGGAACCAGTTTGATGAGTAGGTTACTTAATCTCCCCGAACACTGCTTTCTTCATCTGTAAAATGGGGCAAGTCAGACCCACCTCACTGCACTGCTGGGGGGATTAAATGTTAGCTGAAGTGGAATCTATACTTAAAGACCTCAGTCTCCAAGACTCTCCTGATGAATATCACTGTCCCTCAATTCTCACCACTGAGGAAAGTTTGTCCAAGCCCCACCTGCTTCCTCCTGGCGGTGTATCTGGAGGTACAGAGGACGCCCGATTGAAATTCCCTCTGCCATGCTCCCACTCACCAGGCCTCTTTCCTCCACCCTTGGCCCCCCAGTTCCTGGCCCGCAGACAATCAGAGGCATTAGAAGGCAGTGGACTCCCATCCTGCCCCTGGCACAAATCCCAGGTCAGAAATCTCAG